TAGGGTCACTTGGCAGATATGGATTGACACCTGTCCTCAGAGACCATGATACACACTGACACAGAGCAGAATAGGGACTGTTCCCCCCTACATCGGGTCACTTGGCAGATATGGATTGACACCTGTCCTCAGAGACCATGATACACACTGACACAGAGCAGAATAGGGACTGGTCCCCCTACATAGGGTCACTTGGCAGATATGGATTGACACCTTGTTACAAACTGCTATTTGTAACGGGCCCTTTAAATGGCAAATTGCCCTGCTTCCCTGGGCTGTGGAGAAGCCTATTTGCCAGCCTCCTCCCGCATGACTATGGCCCCTGGGAGATTGTGAAAATGTATGCACTTTTATTTGGTGTGTATGGCCCCTTAAGACTGTCGGTGGGCATATTGGGGCTTATGGACTCTTTATGTGACTGGTGCTGGCCCTTTAAACACCTTTTTTGGGACATCAGGAAGATTGGGACACTGCCCCTTTAAGGCCGTGTCCCCAGACTTGTTGGGGACACGGCCCCTTTAAGACGGTGTCCCTGTGTCCCCAGACCTGGTGCAAACCCTTTGTGCCTGCCTTGCTATTTCCCACTTGGTTCAGTAAATGGGAAATTATTTCAGCTGCAGAGACTAAGTCCCATTCGGCGATGGGACTTAGTCTTTTTTTCAGCCGTTTTTTTCAGCCTTATTTCAGCTGCAGAGACTAAGTCCCATTCGAGATGGGACTTAGTCGTTTTTTCAGCCTGAAATAGAGCGACCTCACAGCCCAAATCTATGGAACTGTTTTGGGCAGGAAAATGTGCTTGCAGTCGGTCATAAAGGGACCTCCAGCTAACTTTTTAACCCCTGGATGGATTTGGCTGATTTTTTGGTTATGTTTATGTTTTAAGTGTGCTGATTCCAAATATGTAATTATGAAGATGGGATGTGTAGTTTTAAAGTTACAGGGTATGGCTAAAACTGTATTTTTACTGCCTGTGTTTAATTATGTTAATCTCTTCCCAAACGTCATTTCGTTCAAAGTGGAGAGAATGTTAAAAAAAAATATTTTTGTTCTGAGTGTGAGAAATGCTTTTCAGCCGCTTCTAATCTTAAGCATCATTTGAGGAGCCATACAGGAGAGAAACCCTATTTGTGGTGTGTTTAGTATTGTTCTGATCAGTTTAATACCTTCCGCGTCTCCTATCAGTGGACGTGTATATGGCAGCCATTTTAGGAACCGTACACCTGGGACCCGAGCAAGGTCACCTCGTTCAACAGGCGACAACATTTGTCCCTGGAAACTATCCTGGACATTCTGTACAATTTGTATGGATATGGCAGTGATTTCTGTAACAGGGAGATGGAAGAAGATGCTTGGTCGGTCCTCTTAATTCAAATTTGGGGCACTGCGCGGTCAAGCTAATGTGCCACCAGATAGGAGGGGTGTGTTTAGTATTGTTCTGATCAGTTTAATACCTTCCGCGTCTCCTATCAGTGGTCGTGTACACGGCAGTGATTTTTGTAACAGGGAGATGGAAGAAGAAGCTTGGTCGGTCCTCTTACTGCAAATTTGGGGCACTGCGCGGTCAAGCTAATGTGACACCAGGTAGGAGTGGAGTGTTTAGTACTATTTTTATCAGTTTAATACCTTCCGCGTCTCCTATCAGTGGTCCTGATACACACTGACACAGAGCAGAATAGGGAATGTTACCCCAACATCGGGTCACTTGGCAGATATGGATTGACACCTGTCCTCAGAGCCCCTGATACACTGACACAGATCAGAATAGGGAATGTTACCCCAACATAGGGTCACTTGGCAGATATGGATTGACACCTGTCCTAAGGATCCCTGATACACACTGATACACACCTACTTGAATGGTATAGACATTTTAAGCAGCTCCTGGCCCGAACACCTGACCCACATAGGAGCCGTAATAGACCGGATTAGGGAGTCCGGACTGACCCTAAAGCCCAGTAAGATATAGGAACGTGTAAAAACCTCCCCAAGATAGTAGTATGGGCCCCAGAATGGCAGACGAGCCTTCCAACAGCTCAAGGCGAGCTCATTCGTCACCTGTACTTTCTTCTCCTGATCCAGCTAACACTTTCATCCAACACAGGCGCTTCTATGCTAGTTGGGAGCAGTATTGAAGCAAGTGGGAGCAGATGGTGGCAACCGGGGCTTATCTAAGCAAGTAACTGCACAGCAAAGTATATTCACTGCCATTGAAAAGGGTGCATAAGCGGTGGTGTGGGCCCTCAAAAAGCTTTGCAACCTACTTGTATGGACAACGTTACCTTACTCACAGATCACAACAAATTTGGGCACTGCGCGTGCAATCTAATGCCACCAGATAGGAGTGGTGTGTTTAGTACTATTGTTATCAGTTTAATCACTGTTACGTCCCCTATCCGTTGATGTGGAGCAAGACGCAGCAGCAGAAGAGGACTCAGCCGAGGAGGTTATGGAAGAGGATGGAGTAGGAGGAGTAGAGGAGGTGGCAGCGTACTGGCAGAGTACGCGCTGTAGGGCTGACACACCTGCTTGAAGATAACTAACTGCTATTCAATCTATAACAGTGAAAAAAAATTTTTGTTTTTAAATCCAAGCTATTGTGACACCAGTGAGTGAGTGGTGTGTTTAGTACTATTGTTATCAGTTTAATCACTGTTACGCCCCCTATCCGTTGATGTGGAGCAAGACGCAGCAGCAGAAGAGGACTAAGCCGAGGAGGTTATGGAAGAGGATGGAGTAGGAGTAGAGGAGGTGGCAGCGTACTGGCAGAGTACACGCTGTAGGGCTGACACACCTGCTTGAAGATAACTAACTGCTATTCAATCTATAACAGTGAAAAAAATTTTTTGTTTTTAAATCCAAGCTATTGTGACACCAGTGAGTGAGTGGTGTGTTTAGTACTATTGTTATCAGTTTAATCACTGTTACGCCCGCTATCCGTTGATGTGGAGCAAGACGCAGCAGCAGAAGAGGACTAAGCCGAGGAGGTTATGGAAGAGGATGGAGTAGGAGGAGTAGGGAGGTGGCAGCGTACTGGCAGAGTACCTGCGCTGTAGGGCTGACACCTGCTTGAAGATAACTAACTGCTATTCAATCTGTGGAAAAAAATTTGTTTTAAATCCAAGCTATTTAGCGGTACCAGTGAGTGAGTGGTGTGTTTTAGTACTATTGTTATCAGTTTAATCACTGTTACGCCCCCTATCCGTTGATGTGGAGCAATACACAGCAGCAGCAGAACAGGACTCAGTCGAGGAGGTTATGGAAGATAAGCGTGAACTGCTCAAGGCGGGAGGCGGAGTGGCGGATGGTTGAGAGGGGACAAGGAGGACAGCAGTGGTTGGCGTGGCTGAAGATGCTGGACCAGGAGGAGGCTGGCGGCTTAGAGTAGGCGAGCTGCTTGTACTCATGTGTTGATCCCATAGGCGTCTGTGATGTGAGATCATGTGCCTACACAAAGCAGTTGTACCTAGGTGGGTGTTGGACTTCCCACGACTCAGTTTCTTTTGGCACAGGTTGCAAATGGCATCGCTGTTGTCAGAGGCACACAAAAAAAAATGCCACACTGCAGAGCTCTGCAATGACGGCATTCTGGTGGTATGATATGAGTGGCACTGTAAACTGGCAGAGTACACGCTGTAGGGCTGACACACCTGCTTGAAGATAACTAACTGCTATTCAATCTATAACAGTGAAAAAAATTTTTTGTTTTTAAATCCAAGCAATTGTGACACCAGTGAGTGAGTGGTGTTTTTAGTACTATTGTTATCAGTTTAATCACTGTTACGCCCCCTATCCGTTGATGTGGAGCAATACACAGCAGCAGCAGAACAGGACTCAGTCGAGGAGGTTATGGAAGATGAGCGTGAACTGCTCAAGGCAGGAGGCGGAGTGGCGGATGGTTGAGAGGGGACAAGGACGACAGCAGTGGTTGACGTGGCTGAAGATGCTGGACCAGGAGGAGGCTGGCGGCTTAGAGTAGGCGAGCTGCTTGTACTCATGTGTTGATCCCATAGGCGTTTGTGATGTGAGATCATGTGCCTACGCAAAGCAGTTGTACCTAGGTGGGTGTTGGACTTCCACGACTCAGTTTCTTTTGGCACAGGTTGCAAATGGCATCGCTGTTGTCAGAGGCAGACACACACAAAAAATGCCACACTGCAGAGCTCTGCAATGACGGCATTCTGGTGGTATGATATGAGTGGCACTGTAAACTGGCAGAGTACACGCTGTAGGGCTGACACACCCGCTTTAAGGACACTGACTGCTATTCAATCTATAACAGTTAAAAAAACTTTTTTTTTTAAATCCAAGCTATTGTGACACCAGTGAGTGAGTGGTGTGTTTAGTACTATTGTTATCAGTTTAATCACTGTTACGCCCCCTATCCGTTGATGTGGAGCAAGACGCAGCAGCAGAAGAGGACTAAGCCGAGGAGGTTATGGAAGAGGATGGAGTAGGAGGGGTAGAGGAGGTGGCAGCGTACTGGCAGAGTACACGCTGTAGGGCTGACACACCAGCTTTGAGACAACTAACTGCTATTCAATCTATAACTGATGTTTGTTTCACAGGCAGAAAGTGCCCTAAAAGATGGCGGCTTGAACCCAAGTTGGTGGCGGATCAGTCACGCAAGTCAACAGGCATTCAGAGCTAAAATACGGCAGCGTGTGGACCATTTTTAGCCCAAGGCAGCTCATCTCATCAGGCCTTTTTTAATCTAATGTATCGCCCAGTGTCAGTCCCTTCGGGATCCATCCTCATTCATCTTAATAAAGGTGAGGTAATCTAGACTTTTTTGACCTAGGCGACTTCTCTTCTCAGTGACAATACCTCCTGCTGCACTGAAGGTCCTTTCTGACAGGACACTTGAAGCGGGGCAGGCCAGAAGTTCTATCGCAAATTGGGATAGCTCAGGCCACAGGTCAAGCCTGCACACCCAGTAGTCAAGGGGTTCATCGCTCCTCAGAGTGTCGATATCTGCAGTTAAGGCGAGGTAGTCTGCTACCTGTCGGTCGAGTCGCTCTCTGAGGGTGGATCCCGAAGGGCTGTGGCGATGCGTAGGACTTAAAAAGGTCCGCATGTCCTCCATCAACAACACGTCTCTAAAGCGTCCTGTCCTTGCCGGCGTGGTCATGGGAGGAGGAGGATGACTTCCACCTCTCCCCCTGTTAGATTCCCGTTGTGCTGTGACATCACCCTTATACGCTGTGTAAAGCATACTTTTAAATTTATTTTGCAAATGCTGCATCCTTTCATACTTGTTGTAATTCGGTAACATTTCCGCCACTTTCTGCTTATACCGGGGGTCTAGTAGCGTGGACACCCAGTACAGGTCGTTCTCCTTCAGCCTTTTTATACGAGGGTCCCTCAACAGGCACGACAGCATGAAAGACCCCATTTGCACAAGGTTGGATGCCGAGCTACTCATTTCCCGTTCCTCCTCCTCACTGATGTCAATGAAGGTATTTTCTTCCCCCCAGCCACGTACAACACCACAGGTACCAGATAGGTGACAACGAGCACCCTGGGATGCCTGTTGTGGTTGGTCTTGCTCCTCCTCTTCCTCCTCCTCAAAGCCACATTCCTCCTCTGACTCCTCTTCCTCACAATCCTCTTCCAGCGTTGCCGCAGGTCCAGCAAGCGATGCTGATAAGGCTGTTTCTGGAGGTGATGGTGACCACAACTCTTCCTCTTCCTCTTCACGCTCATCTACGGCCTGATCCAGCACTCTTCGCAGGGCACGCTCCAGGAAGAAAACAAATGGTATGATGTCGCTGATGGTGCCTTCGGTGCGACTGACTAAATTTGTCACCTCCTCAAAAGGACGCATGAGCCTACAGGCATTGCGCATGACCGTCCAGTAACGTGGCACAAAAATTCCCAGCTCCCCAGAGGCTGTCCTAGCACCCCGGTCATACAAATATTAATTAACGGCTTTTTCTTGTTGGAGCAGGCGGTCGAACATTAGGAGTGTTGAATTCCAACGTGTCGGGCTGTCGCAAATCAAGCGCCTCACTGGCATGTTGTTTCGCCGCTGGATATCGGCAAAGTGAGCCATGGCTGTGTAGGAACGCCTGAAATGGCCACACACCTTCCTGGCCTGCTTCAGGACGTCCTGTAAGCCTATGTACTTATGCAAAGCGTTGTACGATCAGATTACACACATGTGCCATGCACGGCACATGTGACAACTTGCCCAACTTCAATGCCGCTAACAAATTTGTTCCGTTGTCACAAACCACTTTGCCGATATCCAGTCGCTGCGGAGTCAGCCACTTTTCCACCTGTGCATTCAGGGCGGACAGGAGTGCTTGTCCGGTGTGACTCTCTGCTTTCAAGCAAGTCAAACCCAAGACGGCGTGACACTGCCGTATCCGGGATGTGGAATAGTACCTGGGGAGCTGGGGGGGTGCCGTTGATGTGGAGCAAGACGCAGCAGCAGAAGAGGACTCAGCCGAGGAGGTTATGGAAGAGGATGGAGTAGGAGTAGTAGAGGAGGTGGCAGCAGGCCTGCCTGCAAGTCATGGCGGTGTCACCAACTCCTCTGCAGAGCCACACATTCCATGCTTGGCAGCCGTCAGCAGGTTTGCCCAATGCGCAGTGTAGGTGATATACCTGCCCTGACCATGCTTTGCAGACCAGGTATCAGTGGTCAGATGGACCCTTGCCCAACACTGTGTGCCAGACATGCCATTATTTCCTTTTGCACAATCGAGTACAGGTTGGGGATTGCCTTTTTGCGAAGAAAGTGTTCGGCCGGGTACCTTCCACTCGCGGTGTCCCAATGGCGCTACAAATTTTTTGAGAGCAGCCTCCAGACTCCACCAGCTTGTAGCGGTAAAGCTGGCAGGCTAATAGTTCGGACAAGCCAGCAGTCAGGCGCTGGGCAAGGGGGTGACTTTCTGACATTGTCTTCTTACGCTCAAACATGTCCTTGACAGACACATGACTGTGGGAAGATGAGCGTGAACTGCTCAAGGCGGGAGGCGGAGTGGCGGATGGTTGAGAGGGGACAAGGAGGACAGCAGTGGTTGACGTGGCTGAAGATGCTGGACCAGGAGGGGGCTGGCGGCTTAGAGTAGGCGAGCTGCTTGTACTCATGTGTTGATCCCATAGGCGTCTGTGATGTGAGATCATGTGCCTACGCAAAGCAGTTGTACCTAGGTGGGTGGTGGACTTCCCACGACTCAGTTTCTTTTGGCACAGGTTGCAAATGGCATCGCTGTTGTCAGAGGCAGACACACAAAAAAAATTCCACACTGCTGAGCTCTGCAATGACGGCATTCTGGTGGTGGACACAGCATCGTTGATTGGCGTGCTGTCGGGCTGACCAGTGTCGGCCATGCTGTCTGACTGTGCCACTAGCTCCTTGCGGCGACCTCCCCTGCTTCCAACTCGTCTCCTCACTCCTCCCTGTCTCCCCACATCACGAACTTTAAGCCCTGTTCTTCTTCTTGGCGGCCCGGGCACCCGCGTGACATCCATGGGCGCGCATGATCATCATCAACGCCGCTTCACTTGTATCCTGACAACTCAGCAAAGGAAGCAGCAGCAGGTACAACATGTCATCATCATCACACCGGCCGCGCTGCGTCCATGTATTGTAATGCTGCTGCCTGAGGGAACGCACATCCCTGTTATCTCTACATCCTCTGGCAATAATGGTTGCGCATCACTCATTTCTTCAAGCGGATGTGTGAATAACTCCTCCTGACGCATACCAACCCGGCGGCTGTGGTGCTAGTTTTGGTGGTGGCGGCAGGCGGGTGAGTGGTATCTTGAGAGGTGCCTGAAGCTAAGCTGGAGGAGGATGGTGCGTCAAGGTTCTGAGCGGAGGCTGTAGAAGATTGGGTGTCCTGTGTTAGCCAGTCAACTATGTCCTCAGAGCTTTTCAAGTTCAGGGTACGTGGCCTCTGAAAACTGGGCATTATTCTAGGGCCAAAGGGAATCACAGCACCACGACCACGATGGCCCCTGCGGGGTGGCCTGCCTCTGCCTGTCATTTTTGTTGGGATTAGTGGTACTATGCGTGCAAGCTACTGTGAGACCAGGTATGAGTGGCAATGTGCACTGGCACAGTTGTGCAGAGCACAGGCTGTAGGCCTGACACCCGCTTGAAGATAACTAACTGCTATTCAATCTATAACAATGAAAAAAGTTTTTTGTTTTTAAATCCAAGCTATTGTGTCACCAGATCTAAGTGGTGGCACTGGTCACCGTATCCACTGTTAGTAACACACCAGCTTTAAGGACACTGACTGCTATTCAATCTATAACAGTGAAAAGTTTTTGTTTTTTAAAATCCAAGCTATTGTGACACAGGATCTGATAGTGGCACTGGTCACGTATCCACTGGTAGCGTAACACACCAGCAGGACACTGACTGCCTATTCAATCCTATAACAGTGAAAAGTGTTTTTTTGTTTTTTAAATCAAGCTATTGTGACACCAGATCTAATTAGTGGCACTTGTCAGCGTATCCACTGTTAGCGTAACACACCCGCTTTAAGGACACTGACTGCTATTCATCTATAACAGTAAAAAAAGTTTTTTGTTTTTAAATCCAAGCTATTGTGACACAGGATCTAATTAGTGGCACTTGTCAGCGTATCCACTGTTGGCGTAACACACCCGCTTTAAGGACACTGACTGCTATTCAATCTATAACAGTGAAAAAAGATTATTATTTTTTTAAATCCAAACTATTGTGACACCAGATCTAATTAGTGGCACTTGTCAGCGTAATCCACTGTTAGCGTAACACACCCGCTTTAAGGACACTGACTGCTATTCAATCTATAACAGTAAAAAAAGTTTTTGGTTTTTAAATCCAAGCTATTGTGACACCAGATCTAATTAGTGGCACTTGTCAGCGTATCCACTGTTAGCGTAACACACCCGCTTTAAGGACACCGACTGCTATTCAATCAACAGTAAAAAGTTTTTTGTTTTTAAATCAAGCTATTGTGACACCAGATGTAGTGGTAGCTGACTGAGAAATAGGCACAGTATGCACTGTGAGCTGAAGCACAGAAGCTGGCAGCAGTGGCAGACAACTGACTGCTATTCAATCTATAACAGTGAAAAAAGTTTTTTGTTTTTAAATCCAAGCTATTGTGACACCAGATGTAAGTGGTGGCACTGACTGGGGAAATGGGCACAGTATGCACTGAGGCCTGACACAGAAGCTGGCAGCAGTGGCAGACAACTGACTGCTATTCAATCTATAACAGTGAAAAAAGTTTTTTGTTTTTAAATCTAAGCTATTGTGACACCAGATGTAATTGGTGGCACTGACTGGGGAAATGGGCACTGTGAGCCTGACACAGAAGCTGGCAGCAGTGGCAGACAACTAAGTGCATTTACATTACATAGAAAAAAAAAATCCAAAAAAAGCATACCCTTATCCCTAACCTAGCTATGCTTTTCCCTATCTTATGAACAGCAGCTACACTTTCCCTCCTCTTACTAAGCATGCAGCTTGAGAATGAATCTAAAATGGATGCCGTCCAGTAGGTGGGAGGGTCTGCTAGGGAGGCTGTGCTGCTAATTGGCTGGAATGTGTCTGCTGACTGTGAGGTACAGGGTCAAAGTTTACTCAATGATGACGAATAGGGGGCGGGTCGAACCGCGCATATGTTCGCCCGCCGTGGCGAACGCGAACATGCTATGTTCGCCAGGAACCGTTCGCCGGCGAACCGTTCGGTACATCACTACTCCTGAATCATCCAACATTTTTTTTGTGTTTTTTGTTTGTACCAATCAATTTGGACAGAGCAAATTTTTCCACAGTGCAAAAGTCTAAACTGTACCACAGGCTCAGTGCTTATTAGTTTCATAGCTAGTTTCTGTGTGTCCAAGATTATTGAATTACTGGCTACTGACCATTTCCTATTCTACTACTGACTGTGCTGCTCTGACCTATGATTCTGTTCCTGACTTTGTTTATGCTTCTTCCCTTTGATACTATTTTGATATTTGATTTAGCAGTTATTGCTTATTTTTTTGGAGTCTGTTCCCATCTTCAGATATTTCAGGCAGTATTTCTTTACTCTTTATGCAGCTCGGTGCTCATTTGCTCTATCTGATAAAAAAAAAAATATATATATATATATCATTTTGGGGCACTGTAGAACATGTTATATACTTTATCCTCCATCCCAAAGCACATAGGTGAAAGAAAGAATGGCAGTCATTTGCCTAGTGAATGATTACCTTCCACATCCATGCAAGGGAGAAGGAAAACAGAGAAATCATCAAGTCATCGCTGGCCCTAACAGCTCCTGAAGACGACATTCTTTTCTCCTTAGTGGGTGGATCATAAATTAGCTCATGTACACTCATGTTCCCTGGACTAAAACTCAGCCAGTATTGGATTGATGCTCGAGCTTGATACCATTTAATCAAAGTTGAAGCTGGTTTTCATACTCCTCT